AATACAATGTGGAGAAGTAACATGGGAACGAGGACTATTAAAAAAGGGATATAGTATTTGTCATGGTGTTGCTGGAAATGGTTATACTTTTATACATTTATTTCAGCAAACAAAGGTTTGATTTTAATTTTTGAACATTTATGAATATACAAATATTTGATAGCGAATTCAATAGCTTGCATACTGAATACAAACTTTATTGATGCCACACATTTTGTATTTGTAATGTCTTCTATTTTACAAGGGAACACAACCAAGTGAATCTCTCCGATTTAAATGAGCTTTTAGTATGTTAGTTTATGGACAAAAATAGGAGACACATATTGTTTTATACATGCTGAGTCGCACGTTATATAAGGGGGTAAAATCCTCCCTTGAAAAATCGTTTTTTTTTTTCTTTCAGATTGAATATTGTCAAAACTGTAAGTTAGAAAAAAAATTGCACAATAAAAATTGAATGCCATTAAGAGTATTTTAGAATTACAATAAAAAATTTTTTTTAATAAATAATTTTTATTATAAATAAATAATAAAAAAAATATATTTTTATTATAGTATTTTATTATAGTTCTACAGTACTCTTGAAGCCATTCAATTTTTATTCCGAAAAATTTTCTATTTTTTACACTTTCGATGATATTCAAACTGAAAGAAAAAAATCGATTTCTTTTAAAGGAGGATTCGCTCCCTTAGCGTAAAAAAATATGTGTCTCCTATTTTTGTCCATAGAATAACATATCAAAAGCTCATTTAAATCGGATTCACTTGGTTGTGTTCTCTTGTTAGTATTAAAAGATTTTCATATTTAGTTATATAGATTGTACTATTGCATCTCACAATCAGTAAACAAGAATGAATTAAAATGGATTGAAACTTTAATCCATTTGAATCTGAATGCATATTTTAGTATCATTCCATTTTTACTTTTGTAATGTATGTATAATGATAAATAATTAACTATATTGTAATATATAAAAGTAAAAAATGACTTGCTTCCTGGACAAATCGATAAAGAAATCCGCAAATGGAAATCATGATATCAGCTGATTCCTTACGAAACACAGCTATAGATCTGTTTTCTGTGACTGAATTAGTGTACACTTTTGGAACTTAAAGTGAGATAGGTATATGCTTGAAAATGAAAACGAGAGTTGTAGTGCAGTTCAGCAGGAACAGAAAACAGACTGTTAGTTACAGCGCTATTAACGTTGTAATTAAAAATAATATTTTCGACATAGGGCATCAATATAAAATTAGTGCAGATCTATCGAATTCGCGGAAAAGCATATTCGTAGATTATATGCGATTAACTTTCTAATCTAAATTAGATTAACATTCTAGTCTAGATTGTAACCGGAGAAATACCTTAAACTATATAATCTTTCAGATTTAGAAATAACTGAGCTACTTTTTTCTATTCTGGAATCTTTAATTACTTGATCATTCATATTCTAATGACATATGTATAGAAAAAAATGTTACACATTCTACTTTTTGTTTGCTTTTTCATACTATATATGATTATATAATTATATGCAAACATAGTAGTAAAGCAGTACAGCAAAATAATACAGTTTACAGAAGAAATAGTAATTATTTAAAAATAAGGGAGATCCATAATAGAAATAACAGAATTCAAAAGCTGTATTGTGCATTTAATTTGTTATTGTATTGAAATTATGCGTTTCACGGGTTATCTCCAAATTCTTGGAATGCCAACGTTTTGTAAACATTACAATTCATTTCATTAGAGTGAGCTTGATATTGAGCTGAGCCTCAAGAGTATTGTTACTATATTCCTCCGGACGATACCCTTTACCTTGTTTTTTTTATGATTCGAGAGAGGGGTGAAGGAAAGTGGAAGTAAGCTAAAGGAGGAAGTGAGGAATCGGTTAATCTTTGATGACCAGGAGAATGATTTTCCATATTTTACTTATGTTGTAGCCATTATCTCTTTTTAGATTATTAGGATATTTTTGTATCTCTATAGCCTCTATATTTAAAAAAAAAAAGTGTTTAACCTACAGATAAAGAACACCAACGTGACATCAAGTTAAAACACGTCACCATTACCTGTCTTCTCTGATTGGACGCGAGCATCAAAGCTCCATAGGCATGAAAGAGAAAACTAGTCACGTGACCCTCGTCCTGATTGGACGCGGTCATTCATGTGATGCAATTTGCCATTCTCCTTGAGGCTCTCTAATCAGCATTACCAGAATACAGCACTGAGACAGTACATCAAATACTGTTTAATAAGTCCGAATCTACAATAAGTGATTTTAATAAGAATTATTAGAAAGAAATAATCCGTAAGAAACTGATCAACTACAGTCGAATGCAAGGAGAATAATTGAATGTGATTCGTCTATTACTTATGATTTAAGACTTAAAAATCTATTGTAGCTCCGGGGTAAAGCGACTACAACAGCTAACATTACATACTTAAGAAAATATAGAGAGGCTATAGAGATAAAAATATCCTAACAATCTAAATGTAGATAATAGCTACACATAAAGGTACGTGTTTATGGTGTCGCTCCTATTTAGCCACAAACAAATCACATGATTTCATATGTCGCTTATATAAATGGGTTAGCGATAAATTTTGACAGTAATTATATTAATTGTGTAAAGTGCTGTAAATCCAAAATGTTATCAAAAACGATATTACGATTGGGCCTGTCAAGTTGATGTGATTGTGAACAACAAAAGTGAAATTACGGCAAAATAGACTAATACGCTAGTTACATAATTCAAGTACCTGATAAAGTGAACTGCAATGTTCACGAAATGTCGGCATTCTAAGAATGGATTTGGGGACATGGAAATAATCCGCGAAACACATAATTTCTGTATAGAAAGTGTCCATGAAAGTGTCTCAAAGATATTGTTACTATATTCATTTTAGAATATCAAATACTTATATCGAGCTTGTAAGTTTGCCGAGTGGTGTTTTGATTATGGATTACATCAAAATCGATCTCCTGATAGACCTTTTTCTTTATTCGAAGGTAAATTGAATTGGAAAAAAAATTCGAAAATACATATAATATTTTAAGCATGTTTTTACATAATGTTATGTTATTATTTATATTTTCAGGTCTTGCTGGTGTTATTTATTTTTTATTAGATATGCAACAACCACATTTAGCTAAATTTCCAATGTATGATATTTAAGTAAAAATATAATTATTTAAAGTCAATATAATTTTTTGTATTATTAATAAATATGTTATATTTAAACAATAAAAATTGTACTTTAAACAATAAGAGCCATACATTTGAAAATTCAACAATAAAAAATATAAATAATAGCCATAACGGTCAAAGTTAGATCTTAGCTGATTGCAGCAATTAATTTTATGAAGCAACGTGACTGTGCGTGGATATACTTGATTGATCACCGATTTGATTTTTGGAAGATTCTGAAAAGTTAAGATTTTTTTATCTCTTTTTTTTGTCGAGTATAGGCGGTGGTTCCTAATAATATTGATACGACAGTAAATGATTTTTATTAAGATCGACATGAAATTAAATACTAAATATAAGCATATTCAATGCCTAAATAATTCAAAGTGAATACGACTGTCATAGGCCTGAATATGCTTATATTCCCATACCCAATAATTCACTATTGATCACCAAAGACATGGCGGACCCTGAAAACTCGTCCGAAAAAGATCAGACAATAATATATTGTCTAACGTGTAGCGCGGGATTTTTACAAAATTTTGAAAATTAACAAAATAGCGGCACTTGAAAATAGGATGTCACTATGAAAAGATTGATACACATACAGGAACATTGCCTCGACTTTGTTTTATGTACTTATTTTAATTTTGGTTTACATTTTCGCTCTTTTGTATACTATATTTATAGGACATTTGTATTTTGATCATATTGACCTCCGTATTTATCTAGAGACTTAATTAATTACCTTCAAGGTAGCAAATTTATTTCTTTTACGGATTCCGCCGATGCCTCTGCGTGTGCATGTACATACATACACATACTTATACAAACTAACCTCGTTAAGTTGGTTTAAACGGAGAAAACTATCTCTTACAAGAGCGCATGGTTAATCAACATGCTGAAGCGTGTTCGGATTCCTACTCAGGTTCTTCGGATGTCATATCAGCCTTGTTTAACATTCAGTAAATTATAAGAATAAAGTGATATCTCGATAGCATTCGGATGAGAATCTGAACATAAGGCTGCTTTCACATGCAGCGTAACTTGCGTTAGCCAATCAAATCGTTTCAATTAGAATAATATGTAGTAGTTGATACAATTTGATACGATTTGATTGATTGCTTACTCAGCGCTCAGTGAGCTCTTGCATTTGATTGGCATATTTCATTAGATCTAAAAATGTAGACCAAACAGGTAAAAGAGCTTATTGAGCTCTCAGTGAGTTCTCAGTGAGCGGTCGTGCTTCTGAATACACCCAATGCTTAGTCTGATTTCGGCCTAAGGTCACATTGAAGATTGAGATTAAAGATTGAAAGATTGAAATTTGACCAATCAGAACAATAGAAGTTAAAATTCCTTGTCTTCATTGGCCAAATTTCAATCTTCAATCTCAATCTTCAATGCGTAGTCTGATTCCTAAAAAGGGTTAAAGTGCAAAAAGTGCAAACGACACAAATAAATACGAATCTACCGTTTCTTGTATATGCTTGATCTCTTTCTGCTACGGTGGTGTGTGTGTGTGTGTATTCGCATACGTCCTACATATGTCATATATGTATGCACTAAGCACGTATATACACATGAATAAATACACACAACACATGTGTGCAATCGTACTTTTTCTAGCTAAGCTTTTCTAGCTGATTAGAATCTTCGTTCCACAAAACTCGCAAAGTACGATTGTCTTATGTGCACTATTTAGCTTTCATTTCATGCACATATGTATGCATATGTATGTGTATGCATATATACATATACTGCACCTGATTAGATCTCGCATATATATGCGCATATATTTTTGTAAGCCCTGTTCGCGGAATCGCGGAATGCTTTTATCCTTGATTGATTGAACGTCGTTGCCTCGTGCATACAATTACTCCGATTGCCAATCTCGCCGATCCGATCGTTTACCTTATAGAGGTATGTTGGTAAGAATTGATAAGAATGGAAGAAGCGGAGTCGGTGGAAAGTGGTAAATTAGAAATTGTCGGCAGAGCGTCATAAGAGGTTGCAATTTCGTGTGAGGAAATGTGTGATAACTGTTGCTTTGCCGCATCAATATGATATTACACATCCACTTGGAGTGGACTGTGCTTGGATCGGCACAATTATGAAAAGAAGTTTGTGCACGTTTCGCCCGAGAGTCCAATGCTATTCTGAGGGAAGTGCGGCTCCCGGGCTCGTATGTACGCTTGGAACAATTTATCGAATCCTGTGTACAGGGTTTTACAGCAATCGCAAGTAAAACGTGTCGCTCGTATCATGAATGTGAGTAAATTTATATTATATTTAGTGGGATTATAATTCGCCGTATCTCAAATCAAATTATGTGGAGTATTTTACTGTGACTATAATCGTATGTCTGGTTGAGGAATGATTTTGCATGTTGACAGTACAAAATATATTTCTTAATATCATTTATACACTGTTCCAATAATCTTATGTATGTATTTTTTAAATTTATAGTAATTATATGTAAATACGTGAATATATCTGTCAATATTAATGCACTAGTCTTGAAAAAATTTGCAGAATCCAATTGTATGATAGCAGTTAGTCACAATTTTACTCTCTCTTTTTTGTATAAACTATTTTCAGAACAGAATATTCCTGTACTCTACATTATTCTGGCAATTTGATTATGTAACTCGTGTTGGATTATTGACTTAAAATCTTGGTAAACTTGCTTTTAATGACATCTCTGGAATGTAATTATATTTTCGTATCTATTTGTTTGAAGTGTTAATTAACATAAATTATTTTTAACTTATAAAAAAGAAATGTATTAAATATATAACTTATGTTGATCCAAATATTGAAAACTTGTTTTTTAATGATATTTCTGAAATGTAACTATGTTTTCATATTTGTTTTTGAAGTACTAATTAACGCACAAGATTGTTTTGGTAAAAAAAATCTTTCTTTTTAGCTGTATTTTCTTATACTTTAATTATTACGTACATAGATTTATACAAAAATAGAAGAAAAAATAGAAGAAATGTAGACAAAAATGTATGTAGGAAATTTTATAAAAAATAATTTTTTAAACAGCTAAAAGACAGATTTTCCTTATGGTATATATTAACAAAATTTTTTATTTATTTATGTCTAAAAATATATTTATTAGTGAATAATTTAAATGCAAGCAGATACACCTTTACAACTCTTTATTTACAACTAATCAGTAAATTTTTATGAAATGATATATCTTATATACTTGTAAATGTATCACTGAAATATATATATGTAAAATTACTGAGTGCTGTTTTATTTATTTCAATTTAATTATATTGATACTAATTTCTAATCTTCAGTATAATTAAATGTTTGTATTACTTTGAAGCATGACAATTTTAACGTAATATTAATTTTCCTCTTTATATATATGTTTGTAAAATATATGAACAAATTATATTAATTTTATAAAATGAAAAGCTAAATATATACACACACATATATATATATATACATATATATATATATATATATGTATATGTATATATAGGATTCTTCACAAACTTTATATGTACTGATAAGAGGATATTAAATATAATAATTGTTAACAAATTATTATAAAAATTTTTTGTTAAAATATATTTGATAAATAATGCTATATTTGATTAAAAAAATATAATTGATATATAATGCTCCATTTACTTCTCAAAGGTGGCCAGAATAGCAGAGAGGTGGTATCGAGAAGGTGGTTGACACGCCTTCATATATTTGAAATGATTGAAAGTGTATCACGCAGAGCACTGAGTGGCTCCAGTGGGAGCTACCACGTACGTGGTGCTGAATTAGCAAGGAATCGCAGACTAAAATCTTTGTCAGCCACTGTTACTTTCCTAGATGATACACAGCATACATTTCAATTAGATGTAAGTCTATAATATTCTTTTATAGATGTAACAATTAAATGCAACAATAAAAATAAATATTAATAAATAAATGCATATTATAGAAACGAGCAAAAGGACAAGTTCTATTAGATTTGGTGTTTCAACATTTAGAACTTATTGAAAAAGATTATTTTGGTTTACAATATGCTGAAAATGGAGTTGGCACAACTATTCCTACATCTGATATAATGGTAACATATTTTAAAAAGAATTATTTTATTACATACCTGGTCTTTTTTAAAATATTATTTAAAATATATAAATTTTATATATTAGTGTAAATAAAATAGTGTAAATACAATTAAAAAATTATTAATCTTTAATATATAAATATTTCTAGAGGTGGCTGGATCCCTCTAAACCTGTGAAAAAGCAGATAAGAAGTAAGGGTAAAGATCCTATATCTTTAACAAAAAAAAATATATATATATATATATAATTATATGAAAATTAAATATATTTTTTGGTTAATTATCTACATGTGTTATATAGCAAATATATAATATATATGTGTTTGTTTTAGGTGGACATTTCTTTTTTAGAGTAAAATTTTATGTATCTGACCCTAGTAAACTACAAGAAGAATATACTAGATATCAGTTTTATTTACAAATACGTAGAGATATTCTTCAAGGGAAACTCCAATTATCCCCTAGTACAGCTTGTTTAATTGCTAGTTATACAGTTCAATGTAAGTATATTAAAAATAAGTGAAGTAAATTTAAATAATTTTAGTCTTGAAAAAATACGAATTAATAAAATGAGTTAATACATTAAATTTTTGTATATTGCATATATAGCGGAATTAGGAGATTATCATCCAGAGGAACATGGACCAGGATATCTTTCACAATTGCAATTGATACCTGGACAAACAGAAGAAATGGAAAAGAAGATATCAGAGCTACATAAACTGCATAAGTTTGTACATCTTTATATCTAATAAATCTTGTAATTTGCTTTAATATCACAAATGTATTCTTTTTTTTTATTCATAGGGGACAATTGCCAGCTGATGCAGAATTTAATTTTTTAGATCATGCGAAACGTTTAGATATGTATGGGGTGGAATTACATAAAGCAAGGGTATAGAATATATTAAATTTAAAAGTACTTTTTAAAAATAAAATTAACGTATATATTTTGTTTGTCTTTCAGGATTCAACAAATAAAGAAATACAGTTAGGTGTTACATCGATTGGTCTAGTTGTATTTCAGAATAGCATAAAAATCAATGTATTTTCATGGTCAAAAATAGTTAAAATCTCTTTTAAAAGAAAACAATTTTTTATACAACTTCGACGAGAACAAGTGAGTTTTATTATTCATTAATTTAATATGTATGATTTTTTTTTGTCACTTTTACGAATTAATTAATTTATGTTGCAGTCTGAAAATTACGACACGTTATTGGGTTTTAACATGCAAACTTATCGTAGTTCTAAAAATCTATGGAAAGCTTGTGTTGAGCACCATACCTTCTTTAGACTTCACAGCCCGAAAATGCGACCAAAACGATTTCCTCTTACTTTAAGTAGTAGATTTACATATTCAGGACGTACAGAATTTCAAACAGTTGAAGATGGAAAACACAGAGCACGTGTGGAAAGGACATTTATACGGTAATTATGACAATTTATAGTAGTTAAATTACAAAGTTAATATTTTGTAAGGATCTTTCTCAGAAAATTTTTAATATTTAGGTCACCTAGTAAAAAAATTGCTCATACTATTGCAACTGCATCTGTTACTGACGACAAAGGAAAATTGGCAATACCTGGGAGACCTCCACGATCTTATGATAATAAGGTTCAATCCCTCGGTGCTCGTGAACCTCGTCAAGCATGGGGTGAAGGAAATCCAAGTGACGAGTTAGTTACATATAATAATAATATTTATTTATAATATTGAAAAAAATATTCCACAGTTGCGCATAACTATAATTACTTTTCTTGTAACTATATATAAATAATCAGCAGGCAAGAAGATTAAGAAAACGATTAAAATTTTAATTATAAAATTTAAACATTAAGAAAGAAAGTGACAAATAAGTATAGTATGGTTGTTGCGTGATGAATAAAATAATACATAGCTAATTAGAAATAAAATTAAGTATAATTATTTAATCATTGTTTCTATTCTTCTTGGAGTCATCCTCAGCTAACAATTGGCGATTGAAATTAAGATGCTATTAACATCCTGTCATGTATGTAAACCTAAAGATGGAAGATTCTTGTTAAAATGTCATCAAAGACATGATTAAAAGGAACAATGTTAATGAACATATGCTCTACTGCAAGAAGAAGAAATTAATCTAAGAGACATTCCTTTCATATAGATTTAAAGTACAAATATTATCTTCATTATTTAATATTTTTAATACATTTGCGAAGCTTGATGCCATAAAAAGATAATTTACAATAAAAATTGTTTAAAAGAGTATTTTATTGATCTGAAATTTGTGGCAAATAAGGAATAGTAAATTGTGGCGTATTCTTTCTGGTCATTTTGTGTGTGTGTGTGTGTGTGTTTTGTTTGCGTAACTAATACTATATTTTATATTAAAGCCGAAAATTTTTCTTATTAACGTTTCTTATAATGAAACGTATGCTCACTAACATTATTCCAAGTCATGCAGCTATATATTTTTTATAACTTTTATCTAACTAAGATCTTCCACTTCTGAGAACAGGATGTTAATAGCGTTTTAATTTTAGTAGCTAAAACTGAGGATAACTCCAAGAAGTCGGAACTACGATTAAATGATTAGATTTTTATTTCTAATTAATTGTTTATTATTTCATCCGTGTATCAATTATCACGCCTTACTCATATTTGTCACTTTTCTTAATGTTTTAATATTGTTAGTACACACACACACACACACACACACACACACACACACACACACACACACACACACACACACACAAAATATGTGTATATATATATGTATAACTTATTTACAATATTTATATTGAAAACATTATTTTGTAACGTTTGCAATATTTTATGTTACATTAAGTTCGAACAGAATCATTTATATGAATACATTAATTAACAAAGAAATATTAATATTTTACGGATTTTGATCAGTTTTTGCGTGATTAGTCTGAGATACTAAAAAATAATCCCTGTAAAGCAGTAAATTGCACCTCTGCATATTTTTCGAGAAAATTGTGATTTTAGCTCACGACGAATGGCTTTCACCTGGGAGATAGTTAAAAAACAATTTTTATGGGTATATATTAGGTTCGAAAATTGACAGTTTTAGAAAAAATTGGCATTCTTTAATTTCAACCGAAGCTTAAAACACTTCGCGAATGGTTACCATTCATAAAGCAGTAGGAATTGGTGCAGATAGTACAATGTTACGGATGCTATACTCGAATGTTTATATATTCGTTCCCGTCGGAGATGTATTTTTCTGATTTTAAATAATTTTAAATATTTTATTTACGTTTAAATCAAGAGTAAAAAGATTTAAATGCGATTTGTCATCCTGATCTAAATTTACGATTTTCTTGAAAGATATACAGATGTGCAATTTACTGCTTTACTACAGGGATTATTCTCTTTGGTGTCCCAGAATAACAACGCAAAAGCTGATCAAAATCCGTGAAACACATATGTGAGTCTCTTCTTGTAAATAAGAGCAGAGCCAATTATTGTCAAAATTAGATGTTGAAATAATCTATATCTTAATATTATGATTTGTATTTTTGTGATTTATAATTGTTTTGGAATATGCAATTTTTTATGTTATGATTTATTAACTATATAATTGCGTTTATTTTTATTTAGCATTTTTAGTTTTATTTATCTCCTCTTATAGTGAGGGTGGTTTTTTATCTTTGAGGGAAGAAATAACAGGAAGCTATACACGAGGTGGAGCATTTTCACCAGCGTTAGGATCTCGAGTGTTCAGTTATGCAGACGATGATACAACTGCTGAAAGAAATATTTACGATTTGCCAGATTACAGCGAACCTACTAGTTCACCAGCTCCACAAGTACATATGTCTATCGAAAATATCTATATAATAGCTAACAAGTAAAAATAAAGATATTCAATAAATAATATTTATTAAATATATTTTCCTTTATTTTAGATATTAGAAGACGGTTTAGTAACCATATCTTTAACGCCAGATGAACAAGGTCGTTTTGGTTTTAATGTAAAAGGTGGATTAGATTTGGATATGCCAATCTTAGTATCACGAGTAGCACCAAATACACCCGCTGATCGTTGTTATCCAAAATTGAATGAAGGAGATCAAGTATTTAATTATTTAATCCATACTTTTATTCGTATCAATAGTCTATGTAATATTTCTTTCTCGTAAAATACAATTTCTTTTTACAGGTTGTTTATATCAATGGAATTGATGTGAGTGGTTTATTGCATGAACGCGTAGTAAATTTAATACGGCAATCACGCGATCGTGGATCTGGTGAACTTACTTTAACTGTTAGACCTAATGCTCTATATAATGCATTGGCTGGCACCGATGAGACGTCCGAAGAAGAACCGCCTTATAGGTATATAATTCCAAGTCAAAAATGTTTTTCTACATAATTCTGTATTGAACTGTGTTAAATCTAATTTATTATAATGAATGGTTAGGTATGTACCTGATGCGCCTCATGCAGCTATTGGATCTGATGCACTAGCTCAATCTATGTTACTGCTTGCGGACGGTCTAGCAAGTGGTGCTCTTATCGCGCAATATGAACAGTTATATAGAAAAAATCCGGAACTTACGTCACTTGAATCGAAAAAACCGGAAAATCAATCAAAAAATCGCTATCGGGATATTTCGCCGTGTAAGTTAAAGTTTTCTCTCTTTCTCTCTCTCTCTCTCTCTCTCTGTAACAAATAGAATTATATTAATTATATTAATAAGTTATTAAAAAACGATCCATTCAAGATAAAATAGCTATTGAACTATTGTTTATATATAATGTATATACATTTTTATAGATGATGTTACTCGAGTAATTTTGATGAGATCTGCGAATGGAGATTACATCAATGCCAATTACGTGAACATGGAAATACCAGGTTCAGGCATTATTAATAGGTATATTGCTACACAGGGTCCCTTGTCTTCCACCGTTGCCGACTTTTGGCAAATGGTTTTAGAAGCGGGTAGTACACTTGTCGTAATGCTCACAACCTTAGTTGAACGAGGTCGTGCAAAATGTCATCAATATTGGCCGGCATATAACGAGACTCTCACATTAAGAAATCTCACACTTACATCGACTGCAGAAAATGTCGAAGATACATTTATTTTTAGAGAATTCATACTTCGCGATGTTAATGTGAGTAAAGTTTCTCTCTGATATTATCACAATTTATTACACTACTTAGTACATACTATTTAGTATAAAATAATACTTGATAACATTATATAATGTATGTTTTTTTTCACATATTTCTTTGCAGACTGGAGAAGAAAGAGATATAACACATATGCAGTATTGCAGCTGGCCCGATCACGGAGTGCCTAGTGATTGGCGACAATTTACTATGTTTACAGAACGCGTTAGAGCAGCTCGTACTGGAATAGTCGAACCTGCGGTTGTGCATTGTTCTGCTGGAATAGGTCGAACTGGTGTATTAGTTTTAATGGAAACTGCATTGTGTCTAATTGAAGCTAATCAACCAGTGTATCCATTAGATATTGTACGCTCTATGAGAGATCAAAGAGCAATGATGATACAGAATGCTGTAAGTCTTATTTATTGTTACTACTTCATATCTATTTAGATAATATAATATACCGTTCTATTTATGTGATATTTCTTTCAGAGTCAATATAGATTTGTGTGTGAAGCAGTCCATAAAGCCTATAGCGAAGGAATAGCCAAGCCACTTCCAGAGTTTAGTAGATGAAAATAAAAATCCATATGGAGGGCAGCGTTTGTAATTATACCATTTCTTCTTTCACATCTTGCATCAAGCCTCATGCCATTAGAAAGTAGTTTTATATTTTGACAATAACGCGTATAATAATATATATTTAATATAGTATATCCTAATAAAAAAGAGCAGATATGTACTACGTAAAGTATAATCTCACTATACATAATGACGTCCATTTATTACTTCATTTATTACTGTAAAATTTCGATTTTTTTTTTATTTTCTTATACACAGAAGGTCTATTTAGTATTTTAGTGATTTATTTTATTTGTTTATGCAAAACACCATTTTGTACAAAATGTGATTATATTTTTTGTCGCGAGAGTATTAATCTTTTATAATAATTTAAAATATTTCTATAAGACACGTATTTATAGAAAGCCTCAAAAGAATAATATGTACTATGATATATTATTACTAAATTTGTAATATAAAAATAGATTTAATTATACAAATATAACAAAAATTGTAAGATATAGTATATATCTATAAAAATTTAATTATAGGTTAAATAAATCGTAATTAATTTAAAAACTAATATATATATCTGCATATATATATCGTCTATATATTATCCTTTTGAATATTGTATCTTATAGAAATATTTTAAATTTATTTTGCTATTAATTAACAAAAACTGCTATTACATATTATATAATACAAATATCTGCATATATTAACATTAATTTATTTGAATGATTTAAAATTTTGTTTTGCGAAAAGAAACGTTTATGCACTTTTTAAGTTTGATCATTAACTACATTGAAAAAATATTGAGATGAACAAAAGGAAAAATAATATTAATGCATAAATTAATATATTTACAAATTTGAAGTACAATTATGAAAATAATGGATAAAAAGTTTAGATACAATAACATAAATAAAAAAAGTATTTGCACGTGCTGTAAACAAAAAATATATATAAATAAATTTAATATACTAGATAGTTATCACGTCAACTGTCAATGAATTTAAATAATTTAAAGGTAATTTTCATATAACAAAAGTTTGATGATAAATAATTATAAAATATTGAAAATAAAAAAAAATATATCAATTGATGTCCTCGTGTCAAATTTACGCTGTGTATCGATTAACTCCAAATTCGTCAAGGAAATTATCATTAACAATTGACGCGGTAAAAGTTTTACGATTTTTGTAATTGCGGAACTTGGTCCATCCTACATAAAAAGTAATTATACAAAAATTATTTAAAGGCATAAGGCAAAGTATAATCTTCAATATTAGCAGCTTGCAGGCAAACTATAGCTATCTTATATACTTAAAGAATATGGTTGTCCGATATGAATCAAAAAGTTATGCAAAAGTTTTAAATTATCGGACGGCTTAATATCATACAAGAATAAGTTGAAATTTTTTGAGCTTGTTTTTATATGATATTAAACAGTTAATTTAAATATTTTAAAATTGTCATTTTAACTAAGAACTAAGAATTTTTTCACATTCTTTAAAAAAATATGTACATTGATCAAAATATATAATTGGTTTTTCTAGATAGATACAATAAGAATTATAATTCTCTTATTATTATTAAATGTTTATTGTAAATGTGGAACACTATATTATAGATATTTATGCGTTTTCACATATTTATTTTTCACACAAAATGAATCAGATCGATATATTACATACCAGAGAACGGAAGTAACACTTTACTTGTAACGCCGTTATCGTTACTTTTTTTTATAACGACTTGGCGTTACCTATTCTTTTTGGTAACTGTATCGGTAACGTATTTACATTTTTGTAACGGTAACGAATTTTATGGTTCTAGTTACTTTTATCGTTACTTTTTATGTTTTGAACCTATTTATGACATAATTTTTATATATTTATTTTTCCATCTTTGATCGGTATTCATCATTCATTATTACTTTGAGGTTGTTTTAAGTAATATCTTAAGATTCTAATACGGCTCTGTAATTGATTTATGACGTCTTAAGAATGCCATAAATAGATCATAAAACTGTATTAACATGAGAACAAACTTTAGTTACTAATCTTTAAGTTCGTCGGAAGTGATGTCATGTATTATAAAATTTATTGTGAAAAATATCACTTCAGCTGGATTGTGTTTCAAGATCGAAATTTTAATCGGTATGATTTGTAAACCTGAATATGTATATATATAAATTCACTCTGAAATATTATTATGTAACAAAGCTCTAGCTTGAACCGAGAAAGCATTTTTCATTATTTTTACATTATTGTTTATTGCTTTTATTAGTATTTAAACAAAAAATGTACAATTAAAATTTTTTAGACTGATCTTGTTTCAGCATTAAAAAAGTAACGGGAAAGTAACGAATTGTTACTTTCTTACGATAACGAGTAACGGTAACTCATTACTTTTAAAAAGTAACTTTCCATTCCCTGCTACATGCATATCTCCTTGTATGAAGCTTTCAAACTTCTAATTAATTTCACGAATGTCACAGATTCTTTTTAATATACTTATTGTGGATTCTTTAATAATATAATACCTCATCATATGTATTAACAACACCAGCATTTTATAATCTATTTTTGTATTAATACAAACTGGTACTACAATAAACATTATTAGAACAATGGTCTATAATCTTTCATGCATGGTCAAAAGAATACAAATTATCTGTCTCCAAAATACAATATATGGATAGTAATTTTTTTTTTCTATTTCAATCATTCTTTCTTTCTCTTTTACAAAAATTTCTATCAATTAAAATTGACTTATATTCTTTTTACAATGCATGAAAGAACGGAAAAATGGAGGATGTCTTGATTCTTAATCAATGTATATATCGATATATGTATGCTAAATCTACTTCGGCAAAACAAATCTAAGACTTATTTTAAGGAAAAATTATAAGGGACGCCACTAATCATAAAGTATGTACATATTAGAACACAAAATTATTGTGTGTATGTGTGTGTATATGTGTGTGAATTATCTTTTCTTGTTCATTTCGCGCGCGTAGTTCATCCTGCGATATTTTCATGATCTACATTTTATTATATATTGTATACAAAAACTAATGTGTATATAGGGTGGTCACACGTAAAGTGTGACAAACCAATAATTCAAAAGATGTAGAAGATACTGATATTGTAGACAAAATGGTATTAGAACGGTTTTGAAGGTGATATATTTCAAGTTGTTTTTTTTTAGGTGGAGGAGGAAGCGTCAAAAAGATATAAAGATCACCTCCATTTTATCAATAGAAACAAATTATATTTCATTTAAAAAAGTGAATAAATAACTTTCGTATTTTTTCGATACTTTTACGTAAAAAAAAAAAAAAAAAACGTGAAAATACATCTCCCTCGAAACCGTTTCACTTTTGTCTGAAACGATTTTCCACATAATGTCTTTTCCATATTTTTCAAGGCTCATACTTCACGTGGGTCCATCCTATACATATATATAAATCAAACATATACACACACAAACAATATAATTCAATTAGATTATTAATATATTAAAAGAATCTGATGCCATAAAAAAGTGCAAAGTGTGCGCATACATGGAAAAAGAATTTCCAATACACAGCAAAGAAAATAAAAGCAATTAAGTATGTGTAATGAATTTAATATTTACAGATGTACATCAAGATGATGCGTTATATATTTACCATGAAAATTTATTATTTAAGATATATAATTATACAAATGTCTGTGCAAACATATACGCAATTCTCTACTGAAATATTTTTTATCTCTGTGCAAATGAAAATATTTTTAATTAAATATATGTTACGTCAATGTCTACACTTTGCAATATATAACATAATACATTAAAATATTTTTCCAAAATTTATTCGATATATTGTGCATGTCGATTATATATAGAAATAAGTAATAAAATACTTTATCAATTTATTTTAGATACATTTACATACCGTAATCAGTCGAAATTTTAGACTGTAGTGCCTTGTACATATTCTCTCCCCAAACGCAGTCATGTTAAATACGAATTAAAACATTTGATTTGTGTTGCTTGTGTTGTAAAATTTTGCTTTCAGATATTAATAACATATTAACAATCATAAGTATAAATCTCACAAATCTTGATAGTAATAAAATTTATAGATGTCTAGTCTGATTCATACATACTTTTGAAATGTAAGATAAAACTCTATTATGAAAATAATCCTTTGTAAATTATTCTCTCCTGAATTCGTTTTTATAATTATTTGTAAATTATAAATAATTAACATATTTTTGAATTATGTAGATCAAGATATTTTTCAATGTTTTTTTTATAAAATCAAATGACGCTGTTTCATTAATTTTTTAATTGAGAAAAATTATTTTTGAATGAAAAGTCCGAACTCTAAGAAAATATTTTATTTAAATTTTAATTGAACAATAGTTATGAGAAAAATAACTCGAACAGCTAAATTAAACTTCTATTAACCCTAGAACGTTATCGATTCGTAAATTTTATGAACAAGTCATAGCATTAAACGATATCTTCATATCAAGAGATATTTGATTAGATCAAGAGGTTCAATTTGCAATGTCAAAAGGATAAGTAAAGACGAATGTTTAAAAATTCAATCAGTATTATGATAAATGATATCAATTTTTAAGCAATTTTTTGTTATTTATATAGATAAATTTTACTTAAGAATACTATTCCAAAACAAAATATAAGTATTCAGTTGTATATGTAAAGCAACAATAAAAATGATTTTAATAATCAATTTATTATTTTGTTTAGGTCAAATAATTAAAAAAACGAGCAATATTATTAGATAGATAAAAATTTTTTACAATTAAATTTATTAAATTACATATACATGTTCGAAACTCTGAATTATATACTTTCATATCATTTTATGATTGAATTTTATATGCTCATTTTTTCTTTCAAGTTAATAATTATAATTATGTTTATAAACGTTTAAATTATACAAATTTTATCATTGAAAGTGTAAAATAGAAAAGTGTAATATAAAAAAATTTTGTGTTACATTAAAAAAAAATGGCGTACTTCCTTATACATAAAATTTACGTATAGAAATTCTATATTACTCAGAATCGATAGCATTCTAGCGTTAAGACAAATTACGAAAAAAGTTGAGTAAAAAAAGATTCCATGCGAAGCAAACGCTGATAAGTTAATATATGCACATATATACAATATAATATTACATATA